CTCCCACTTTCTTCTCTTTTAAATATTATTTTAGTTATTTCCTTTATCCCTTCTATATAAATTTTAGACTCATCTTACATGCATCTATAAAAACCTTGTTGAAATTTTAATATGAATTACATTAAACATGTATATCAATTTGGAGAAGCTTGATTATCTTCATTATGTTAAGTCTTCCAATCACTGAACATAGTTATTTAGATCTTTGTTTTATTCCTCTCATCAGCATTGTATAGTTTTCAACATACAAGTCCTGTTCATGTTTTCTTAAATTTTTCCTTAAATATTTTTAAAATTTAATTTAATTTAATTTATTTATTTTTTTAGATGGAGTCTTGCTCTGTCACCCAGGCTGGAGTGCAGTGGTGTGATCTCGGCTCACTGCAAGCTCCGCCTCTGGGTTCACACCATTCTCCTGCCTTAGCCTCCCAAGTAGCTGAGACTACTGGCACCTGCCACCACACCCAGCTAATTTTTGTATTTTTAGTAGATACAGGGTTTCACCATGTTAGCCAGGATGGTCTCGATCTCCTGACCTCGTGATCTGCCCGCCTCAGCCTCCCAAAGTGCTGGGATTACAGGCATGAGCCACAGTGCCCAGCCAAATATTTTATTTTTTAAGCAATTGTGAATAGTATTTTTATTTTAATTTTGATGACCATGTGTTCATTGCTAGTATATAGAAATAAAATTTATTTTCATATATTTTCATGTATCTTGCAATCTTGATGAATTCACACTCAGTTCTGGGAACTTTTGTTTGCTCTGTGTGTGTGTGTGTGTGATTTAGTATAATGGTTATACAGCTTCATGAAATTAGTTAAGAAGAGTCATCTTCTATTCTATTCCTTGGGCAGGTATTGTGTATTATCAGTATTCATTCTTCTTTAATGTTTTGATAGAATTCTCTAGTGGTTTTGATAGAATTCTCTAGCATAACCACTTAGGCTTGTAGATTCATTTTGGGGATGTTTTTAAAGTTATACATTTTATTTTCTTAATGATTATAGGGCTATTCAAATTAATTGTTTCTTACTGGGTGACTTGTGGTACTTGGTGTTTTTTAACGATGTGGTCCAGTTGATGTAAGTTGTCAAATGTATGCATGTATTGTTGTTCTTAGTATTACTTTACTCTCCTTTTGATATCTTCAGGGTCTGCAGTGATATTCCATGTTTTGTTCCCAACACTGGTAATTTACATCTTCTCTCTTTCTCCTTTGTCTGTCTTGCTAGTGGTTTATTAATTTTATAGAGCTTTTCAAACCTCTATGTTTCATTTATTTCTCTATCATTTTCTATTTGCAAGTCTATGGATTTCTGCTTTTATCTTTTTTTTTTTTTCTTTTTTTTGAGACGGAGTGTTGCTCTGTCGCCCAGGCTGGAGTGCAGTGGCCGGATCTCAGCTCACTGCAAGCTCCGCCTCCTGGGTTCAGGCCATTCTCCTGCCTCAGCCTCCCGAGTAGCTGGGACTACAGGCGCCCGCCACCTCGCCCGGCTACTTTTTTTGTATTTTTTTTTCAGTAGAGATGGGGTTTCACCGTGTTAGCCAGGATGGTCTTGATCTCCCGACCTCGTGATCCACCCGTCTCGGCCTCCCAAAGTGCTGGGATTACAGGCTTGAGCCACCACGCCCGGCCTCTGCTTTTATCTTTATCATTGCCTTCCTCCTCCTGGATGTGGGTTCACTCTTCATTTTCTAGGTTCTTTAGACGTGAGCTTATGTTACTGATTTAACAGTTTTCTGCTTTTCCAATTTGTGTACTTAGTGCTCCAAATTTTATTCTCATACTGCTTTAGCTGTGTCTCACAAATTTTAATATGTTGTATTTTAATTCTCATTCAGTTCAGTGTATTTTTAAAAATTGCTTTTCAGATTTTTCTCTTTGACCCATGGATTATTTGGACATGTGCTGTTTTGTTTCTAAGAGTCTGTTGATTTTCCTGTTATTATCTCTAGTTTGAGTTCATTGTGGTAGAAGAACACACTCTGCATAGCCTCAATTCTTTTAATACGTTGAGATTTTTGAGGCCTATGATATGGTTTATTTTGGTATATGTTATGTGGACACTTGAAAAAAAATGTCAGTTCTGCTGTTGTTGGATGAAATATGCTATAAATGTCTATTAAACCTATTGGTTTAATTGGGTTATGCAGTGGTATTGAGTCTAATTGGTTTGGGTCTGGTGGTGTTAAGTTCTTCTATATCTGCTACTTTTTGTTTGCTTTACCAATTGGTAAGAGGTTTATTTAATTTTTTTGTCTGTTGTTGGCAGAAGTTGTTAAAGACAAATTGTGATTTGTCTATCTCCCTTTTCAGTTCTATCAGATTTTGCTTTACATGTTTTGCAACTTTCTTATTTGATACATACACATTTAGAATAATAGCTGTGTTATCTTGGTGAATTGACCCTATTATCATTATATAACATCTTCTCTGGCTCTGGAATTTTTCTTATTTTTAAGCCTATTTTATTTGATTTTACTAAATCCACTCCTGCTTTCCATTTATTAATCTTTGCATAATGTGGCATTTCTATCTTTTTACTTTCAATCTGACTCTAATATGTTTGAAGTGAGTTTCTTACACACAGCATATAGTTGGGTCAAGTTTTTTAATCCACTCTGCCAATCTCTGTCTCAGAATTAGTATATTTAGATCATTTACATTTAATGTAATTGTTGATGTGTAAGGCTTGTCTCCCATTTTACTTCTTGTTTTCTATTTGTTCTCTGTCTTAGTTTTCTCTGTTTTCTTTTTCCTGCCTTCATTTGGGTTACTCAACTATTTTTTTTTAGAATCCCATTTTAATTTACTTACAGTGATATTGACTCAATATATGTGTGTAGCTTTTTAATTGACTGCTCTAGGAATTACATTTTATATACATAACATGAAAATCCACCGATATTTTTATTTTACCAGTTCAGGTAAAGCATAGAAATCTTGTCTCTTTTACATCTCTTCATTTTCTCCTATTAAATTATAATTGTCTTAAATATTTCATCTACATGCATGTAGAACCACATCAAATAGTGTTATAACTTTTGTTTCAACTGACAAACATAATTTAGAAAACTCAAGGGGAGAAAGAAAGTATATTATAGTACCCATATGCTGGCTTATCATATTCTTCCTTCCTGATTTTCTAAGATTTATTATTTCATCATTTCTTTTCTGTTTCAAGAACTTCCTTTAGCTATCCTTATGAGGTTAGCCTCCTGCTGACAAATTATCTTCATTTTCCTTTATCTACATATGTTTTGATTTCTTTTTCATTCTTGAAGAATATTTTTGCTGGGCATAGAATGTTGGGTTGACAGTTCTTTTCTTTTAGCTTCTTGAAAAATGCTATGCAACTTCTTTCTGACTTCCATAGTTTTATTATTTTTTAAAATAATATATCTTCTCTACTTTGAATTGAGTTTTCCCCAGTGGTGATTGGTTAGTTTTTCTCTACCTGCTCTTAAGACTTTTTCTTTGTTTTTGGTGTCCAAAAATTTGACCATGATATTTCTTGGTATGGATATCATTTGGCTTATTGTATTTGGGATTTTCTTGGCTCCTTGAATCTCTTGTTTTATGTCTTTTTAAAAAAATTTGAGAAGCTTTTGGTTATTGTTTTTCTGAGTACTTTTTTTAACCCAGTGTTCTTTGTCTTCTCTATCTGGGACTCCAATGACATGAATGTTAGATTCTTCATCGCAGTCCCACAGTTCTCTGAAGCTCTTTTCAATTGTTTGTCAATTTTCTATCTATTATTCAGAGAATAATTCTCACCACCATGAGCAAAATGCACCCAGGCTATGGCTGACTTTTACCCCAAGGGCATGCCCAGCTGCCTGTGGGGCTCATGAGAGAGCTCAGAGCACACTGTCTTTCTGGCCAGGCACTGGCTATTCATGAGGTGAGAAGGGAGATCCCTAAATCTTTCAGTGCAGAGTAATATTTAAGGGCATTCTAGGGACACATGAGTTAAAGGAGATCTGGCCCCATCCTTCATAAGTAGGCTAAGTTTAGAAGACTGATAGAAAATACAGATGCTGACATAAAACTTCTGTGTTCAAATCTTGGCCTTTCCAATGATTCATTGCATACCTACAGGCAAGTTGCTTAACTTTTGGACATCCACGCTTCCTCATCTGTAGAGTAGGGATAATAATAGAATTTACCTGAAAGGATTGTTGTGCATCAGAAGTGTAAAATCCTTAGAGCAGCCTCTGGGATGCTATAAGCCCCATGTCAATATTTGCTATTAAGATTTTAAAATTTCTTTCATCCTTCATTTTTTCATCTACTAAATGGATAATTAAACTTTATTTCACAAGGTTGTTGTAAAATGTAAAAGGTATAATTTGTGTAGAGTTCTTAGAGTGATACCTAACATGATAAAAATCTGGAAAATTATTTTTTAATTTTAGTGACATTATTTCTACTTTCACTGCTACCACGTGTTTACTCAGTTTTTCTGTACATAAGAGCTGAGATGGACTTGTATGGTGTGATGAAAGTTTCTAATGAAATAACTCTAGAATCATTTTTTGTTTTTAACTTTTTTTCTCTTATATGCTGTTTTGATAGTTGTGGCATTTTCAGCATGTAAATAGCATAGAGCAGGGTTTACAAATCTCAACACTATTGGTGTTTTTGGTGGCTAATTGCTAGTGGTGAAAGCCATCTTGGCCACTTTAGCCTCTACCAACTGCACACCAGTAGCTCTGCCTCAAGTCATAATAATCAAAAAAATTTTCCAAACAGTGACAAATATTCCCTATGAGGAACCCTCCCTGCCCTCCTTGAGAACCAGTATTATACATTAAGAGAACAGCAAAAAGAACACTGAAACCATGTCAATAGACCTGTCATCAAGATGGCCCAAGCAGATCCACCATCCAGAGTCTAGAACAGAGTCTGCTAGTTGTCACACACTCTGACATGCCTGTCTGACGCTTATGTGAACTGAAGCACCTTGGACCACGTTGGTAACTTAAAAAGATACCTTTAGATATTTTCACCAGTCCCTGGACTAAAGCTCCATCTTTCTGTGTCCATATGCCAAGCACCAAGTGGTCAGCAAACAGATCCCTGCATCTGTGGGTCACTGATTTCATGGAGAGGCGGGCATGCTTCTCCACTATGACATGGGCCTGCACTGTCCCCATGGCTGTCCATCCTTTCCAATCCGTCTTGCCAGGATGACTGATTCTCTTCAAGCAGATGAAGCATCTTGCTCTGAGGAAGGGCCCAGCTCTGCTCTTCTGACATTTCCACATTTTCTAAGAGCAGCTTCAGTTGATGCCACAGTATGTCCCTGCTCTCAGGGAACATTAGGTTGCATTCCAAGTGCCTTCCACTGAGCAACATCCGACACGGAAAATCCTTATTCATAGCCCTCGTAGAAGAACATCAAGGAAAGCAGCAATCAGTCACCAACAATGCCCTTCCTATTATTTCACTCAAATTTGACCTTCCCTAGGAAGAGCATGAAAAAGCCATAGTTAGAGATTGATGAGTTGCACTACAAGAATGCTTCCACTTTTACTATCAAGTGGCAAGATGCTTTAAAATAACATCATTCATGCCATTGTTGATGTCCGCTGGGAGCCCAGTTCATGACGAGCCTATGAATAAAAGATGCAAAAGCAACCCCATCTTCCTGGACTGTGCAGAAGCCGGCCAGTGGAGTGAGGGGGAGGTGGAGGGGGCCTCACGCAGGCAGTCTGAGTACGTTTTCACACCAGCAGTGACCTGCCCACCAAGCCAGAGGCACTTCTGCTGCTGGAAACCCACCAGCTTTGCTGTGAACGAAAGGCTGTTTCAAAGCCGATCACCCTCAGGTGAGTGAGGTGTGTCCCAGACTCCCACCTAAGGGAAGCAGCCACACCTCCTGGTAGCAGCATTTAGGAAGGGTGCCGCTGAATGCGCAGCAATCACTAGACTCTGAGGCAGATGTTGGTGGAGAGCTTGCTGTGTGGTCACCACAGCATGGAAACCTGCCTTGGAAGTCACAAAGAAGCCAAGTGGGTTTGAAACTAGCACTGCGCTCCACTTAGATTCTGGAGCTGGAGCTTCCTTTCCTGCTCCTCAGACTAAGGCTGGGCTGTGGACTGATTGTGACTCCCCAAAACGCATATGTTGAAGCCCTAATCCCCAATGTGAAGGTATTTGGAGACGGGGGCTGTGGGAGTGAAACAGGTTATATGAGTTCGTGAGAGTACAGCCCCCATGATGAGATTAGTGTCCTATACAAAGAGGAAGACAGAAGTGAGCTCTCTCCACCAGAGGAGGGCATGTGAGGAGGCAGCCCTCATGAGGAATGGGCCTGCTTGCATATTCGTCTTGAACGCCCAGCCTCCAGACCTGTATGGAGCATGTGTCTATTCTTACAAGTACCAGCCCATGCTGACTCACACAGCCTGCTTCCATGGGACGAGAGTTCCCCTCCAAGAAACCACGAGTGTATTAAATGGCAAGCAGAGGATGCGTGTCATTACGGGAGGAGGATCCAACCTCAGGGGCAGAGAATTGCAAAGACTGGGGGAAGTCAAGTGAGAAAGAGGAGGACACCTTTGCCCGTTGCAGGGAGAAATGGAGCGGAACCTAAGCAAAGCCTCCTGCTTCCCCAGTGGGTCACGGTGGTATCCCAAAGGGAAATTTCTCTGTCTAGGTTAGCAGACCTTGGCTGCTTTTCAAACTGCAGAGTGTTGGGTTTTGTCTTGGCCTTGCTGTCCTCTTTACCTGGAATGTGCTACTCCCACCCACATGTCTTCTCCATTCAGACAAACCCTCCTCTTTCTCGAAAGCCCAGCCCGGAAGTCATTTCCCGTGGACCTGGGATCTCCAGGCAGGACTGGTCGCTGTGTTCTCTGTGTTCACATAGCACTAGAACAAGTGACTGTGAAATATCATTGCTCCCTAAACTGGGAGATTTTCATTTCCTATAGGACCCAGCCTAGGGTTAGAATATAGTAGGCATCTCATCAACACATGATACATTAATGCATGGATGAGTGAGTAAATGAATAATTAAATGGACACATAAATAAATGAAACAGTCGTATGCTGTCAATGTAACACATGTAAAACATGGCTAGTGATGCAATCATCTTGTTAAGTAAGTACTCATCTATATTCTATATTCTATCTTAATAAACATAACGAAGCACATTAGAAAAATGCAAAGTATCTTTAAAAATACCTCCAACAATTGAATGACACTGTCGCTCTTTTAATCTATCAGTCTACATACAAAATCCTTTCTAGCATATATAAGTCAGCTTTTTTTTTTTTTTTTTTGAGACGGAGTCTCGCTCTGTCACCAGGCTGGAGTGCAGTGGCCGGATCTCGGCTCACTAGAAGCTCCGCCTCCAGGGTTCAGGCCATTCTCCTGCCTCAGCCTCCTGAGTAGCTGGGACTACAGGCGCCGCCACCACGCCTGGCTAATTTTTTGTATTTTTTAGTAGAGACGGGGTTTCACCGTGTTAGCCAGGATGGTCTCGATCTCCTTACCTCGTGATTCGCCTGTCTCGGCCTCCCAAAGTGCTGGGATTACAGGCGTGAGCCACTGCGCCCGGCCACATATAAGTCAGCTTTGTTGCAACCATAATGCAGTGTACCCAGACAGAAGCAACTTCAAAACCAAAATCTATCCCCAGGGCTGCTCTAGGTGTTAGGTGGGAAGGTTGAAAGCTTCTGAAGCCCACCCACCACGCTGCACCACCAGCACTGAACAAAACCTACACCTCCTCTGCCAATGAGGAGGGAATCCTATTTCGTGCCAAGGACAGACTTCTCCTGAGGCATTAATTACCATCAACCCACACACTATTTCATCATTTCTCACAAATTGCCGAGTAGGGGTTGCCATGTAAAGCCTCAGCATTAAAGGACAGTTGGTACTCAAATCGCTAGAAGTTATTTAGAATATTTTATGGAGGTGGATGGTGGGATGCAAAAGACACTGAAAAAAATTACGTGTACCTGTTTTCCAAATCGCTTTCACGGTTGCTTCTGTCCACTCGCTGACCGATTCCACTTTGGCAAAATGCATATGAGTTTGAGCACTTCCAGGGCAAGTGACCTCACCCCTCATTTTTCTCATTTTTCCTCAATTTGCCGGTCTCTGTTTCTTTTTTCTGTCTGCATCTTTCTGCGGGGAAATGCTAGGTCCAATGCTTCCATTTACCTCCATTTGTTTTTTTTTCTTAACTTTTTACAAATATTTTCGGTGAAATACACAAAACATAACATTTACTGTCTTAAATATTGTTGAGTGTATGGTTTGGCGGCATTAAGCATATTCACGTTTTGTTGTGCTACCATCACCACCTCCCATCTCTACAATTCCTTTCATCTTGCACACTGCAGTCTGTACTCAGTAAACACTGACTCCCCACCCTCCTTCCCCAGCCCCCAGCACCCAGGATTCTACTTTCTGTCTGTGAATTTGACTCTTCCATGTAGCTCACATAGGTGGAATCATAGAGTCTTCGTCATTTCGTGACTGACATTTCACATCAGGTTTCATCCATGTTGTAGCTTGTGTCAGAATCTCCTTCCTTTTAAGGTTGAATAATGTTCCATTGTAGAGTAGACCATGTATTTTTCTTACTCTTTCATCTGTCAGTGGACATTTAGGTGGCTTCCACCTTGTGACGATTGTGAATGATGCTCTTATGAACATTAGTGTACAAATATTTCCTGAGACCCTGCTTTCAATTCTTCTGGGTGCATGCCCAGAAGTGAAATGACTGAATCATATGGCAATTCTATTTTTCATTTCTTGAGGAACTCTTTCCTACAGCAGCTACCCCATTTTACATTTCCACTGACAGTGCACAGGGGGTTCCAGCTTCTGCACACCCTTGTGAACGTTCCTGTTCTGTTTGTGTTTGTTTTGTGTGTAATAGCCATCCTGATGGACGTGAAGCAATATCTCATCATGGTTTTGATTTGCACTGCCCTAATGATTCGTGATGTTGAGGATCTTTTCATGTGCTTATTGGTGATCTGTATATCTCTTTTGGAGAAATGCCTATTCATGTCCTCTGCCCATTTTTAAATAGGTTGTTTGTTTTGTTGTTGTTGAGTTGTAGGGGTTCTTTATATATTCTGGATGTTAACCTCTTATCCTATATAGGATTTGCAAATATTTTCTGCAGTTCTCTGGGTTACCTTTTCACTTGGTTGAATGTGTCTTTTGGTGGAAAGTGCCCTATGGCCTCCATCCCATTAACCCACCCCGGGTCCCAGACAAGCACTCGCTCGCTCTGTATCTGATTAGTTTTACTGCCCCAGAATTCCATATAAAAGCAACGTTGCAGTATGTACATTTTTGCATCTTTATTCTTTTGTTCAGCCTAAAGTCTTTGAGGCTGCTACATGTTTTTAGGTGGATCAGTGGTACCTTCCTTTTAATTGCTAAGTACTATTCTACTATATGTAACCTAGACTTGGCTATCAATTCATCTGTTGATCGATTTTTTAGTTGTTCCAAGTTTTTTGACCATTATGAATAAAACTGTTATAATCATTTGTGTGCAGCTCATTGCATGGTTGTATGTTTTCATTTCCTTTTAGAAAAGATATGAATGGAATTTTTGGGTTTTGTGAAAAGTATATGTTTAACTTTATAATAAGTTGTCAAACTGTTTTCCAAAGTGGTTGTACCACATTTAATCTCTCCAGAAAGGTAAGAGGGTTTCAATTGCTTCTCATCTTCACCAAAAATGTGATTTCAAAATTGCATCCATGATGATGTTATGCAGTCCTGTCTCCCTGGGGCCTTAAGGGAGTCATGAACGGGCAAGTCTTTCATGACTGTAAGTGATACTGAGCACCTTTCTGTGTGCCTCATGCTCATTCATGCATGTTCCTCTGACAAACCCCTCTTCAAATATTTAGCTGAGTTTTTGATATGGAAATTTAAAATCAATTGCCTGAGATGTAATTTACATAGGGTAAAATGCACTCATTTAAAGCATATACTTTAATGTCATGCTTTGTTGGAGTGTCTGTTCCAATCTTTTGACCATTTTTTATTGGGTCGTTTATCTCCTTATTGAGCTGTATGAGTTATTTATGTTTTGGATTTAATTTCAAGATTCAGACATTTATCGTGGAAAAATTGCTCCTAGGATTGTTGCAAGCTTGTGGTTAATTT